GGTGGTGGTCCCCACTGGGGTGCCTGGCCAGTCTGGGTGAGTGGCTGAGGGCCTTTTTCAGGCTGGCCAAACCCCCCGGTGACAGAAGCTCCCAGCCTCTCCTTTTTTTCTTTTTTTTATTTATTCTTGGATTTATTTACCTTCTATAATTGAAACTTTGTAGCCTTGAGAGGAGCTCAGAGCCAGCCAGGGCGGGGAGGAGGGAAGCCTCCTTTTCTCTCCAGCTGGCTGAAAGCAGGTATCTGGGGTTTATTTACCTTCTCTAATTGAAATTTTGTTGCTTTGATTGGAGCTCAGAGCTGCCCGCAGCAGGCGGGAAGCTTGGCTTCCTCCATCATTGGGGCAACCAAGCCTCCTGCTTGCTCCAGCTCCATGGCTGCCGGCCGCCATCTTGGTTGGGTTAATTTGCATACAGTCGCTCTGATTGGCTGGTGGGCGTGGCTTAAGGCATAGCAAAGGTATGGTCAATTTGCATGTTTGTCTTTTATTAGTGTAGACTAGAGACCTGCTGCAACTTTTTACAGCAAGGATTCAGGATCTGGAGAAGGGGCTGCACATAAACAGATATACTAGACAAGAAATATAAGTTTAGGAGGCATGGGGGGAGCCAGGCAGAGACCTTACTCTCCAGTGGAGAGGTCCCCTGACTTTTCGGTCCCCTTTGCTTTTTATTTACTAGAATACACATTTGCCCTTTAGGAATGTAAACAAGCATATCAAAGATAAGGTTTGGTAATCAATAAAAAATGATCAAGTGAGGGGATTGCCATGAGCCCACCATTGTCTCGACAGAACAATTGGTACATAGCTTTTAGCCCTTGCTAAAGCCCAAGGTCCACCAGCCTTCTGTGTTCCCTGCTGCACTTTCATGATAGTGTAGACAATGGGTAGCTTCCACATATCCCCCTTTTTTGTTTTTTTTAATAAATTTTGAAAGATATATGCCGCCTGAAGAGCTTAAGTCCTTTTAAGACTTTTAGATTCAATGAAAAGGATTGAGTTCTTTCATGTCTTTTAAAATTGCTGCCAGGCATCAAAGGAACTAGTTTGCATCAAGCTCCTTTCTGGGCCATTAGTTCTTTGAATCCTCTTCCAAATCACTGTCCCCTGTGACATGACAGCAATGATATTCCAGTTCTGGATGGTGGACAAATGGTGGGCAATGACAATGCAGGTCCAACTTTCTCTGGCTTTGTCCAGGGCAACATGCACTGATTCACAGCTGATGACTGCTAGCATGGCAAGGCGTCTTTACCATCCCCCATCTCTGGACTATTTCTCCTCTGTTTCATCAGTGTGTTCCTTGGGGCCACTGCTATCTGTGGTTGGAGTAGTCTGGTCAGTTCCTCTCTCAGATCCATTGTTGCAGGAATCTGCACTGGCTTGGAGGAATTTTCTGGAAATACACAAGCATATCCTCAACCAAAGGTTAATAAAGGGACCCTTCTATAAACTAGACTTGGGATCTTTTCATTTAACCAAACTATTTTCCTTTGGCTTATTCTGACACCAGTGTAATTTCATGGGTGTCTTGCCATCAGCATTACAAGTGAAAAATTTAAAGTGAAAAAATTAAAAGTAATTAAGGCTTGATGTAGTTTACTTATAGGAGATTACTCCACTATTCCCTCATTTTTTAAAAATATATTTTTATTGATTTTTTACAAAGAGGAAGGGAGAGGTATAGAGAGTTAGAAACATCAAAGAGAGTGAAACATCAATCAGCTGCCTCCTGCACACCCCCTACTGGGGATGTGCCCGCAACCAAGGTACATGCCCTTGACCGGAATCGAACCTGGGACCCTTATGTCTGCAGGCCGATGCTCTATCCACTGAGCCAAACAGGTTAGGGCCCCCTTTTTTGTTTTAACATGTAAGGGGGACAATTTTTTTTTCTTGCTGTACAATATTTTGGCTTTTGAAAATTCTGCAATGCAGCCTTGATATCTTTTAATTCAATTCTTTGCACAGACGTATGACTGGTCTGGATGACTTGGTCTGAATTCATTGCATGATAAGCAGCTTTATTATGCAATGAACCATCAAAAAAAATAGTTAATGCTCCAGGAATAGGTTCCTGCCTAGTACAACTAAGTTCCCCTGAATATTCACTTATTTCAATTTGCCAATTTAAATCAGTCTGAAATAAGGCTTATTTTCTAACTTCATTTGTCCTTGGGTGTGGACAGTAAATGACACTAATTGAATTTCTGCTACCAGTCTTTGAGTATATTGACATAAGCTTTGTTAGGGACACAGAATGCAAACTATTTACTTTTCTTTTTGAGGCCTAATACATTGACTTTTATTTTTAGTTTTCCAGATATTTGAAGGGAATCTCCTTCCCCCCCGCCCCCAGAGTAATTTCAAGGCCACATTTAGGGAGTTTCTTTTAAAAAACCTTTCTATTTCTTTTAAACAGAGTAATGAACTTGGTTGCTTTTCAGATGCCGGCCAATACTGTAATGCATACATATCAAGTAAAAGTAAGTCTCTTTTTACTTATGGTGTCTTATTAATGACTAGAGGCCCGGTGCACAAAAATTTGTGCACTCGGGGGGCGGGGGGAGGGGGGTCCCCCAGCCCGGCCTGTGCCCTCTCGCAGTCTGGGACCCCTCGGGAGATAACGACCTGCTGGCTTAGGCCTGCTCCCGGGTGGCAGAGGGCACGCCCAATTCCTAGGTGCAGCCCCTGGTCAGGCTCAGAGCAGGGCCGATTGGGGAGTTGGGGCACCGCCCCGTCATGCACAGAGCAGGGCGGATCGGGAGGTTGCAATGCCACCCTCAGTCACGCTCAGGGTAGGGCC